TGCTTTATTCAAGTATTGCAGGAAAAAGGCAAAATGAATGTGTGACAGGAATGTTGGTTCGGTGAATGGGTGATGGAAGGAGACACAGGGTTGGCGAATACTGGGGCTCGTGCACTTTATTGAGTTACTTTCTCTCCCCAAAGCGCTTGCTCGCGCTCACACAATTAAAGCCACAACATGTAATTTTTCTGCTTTAAAAATAGCAAAAATAACTGCGTCTATGTTATATATTTATATTAGATGTGTACTTACATTATCCCTACAGTTTCCACCAACTTTAAAATACGGAGAAATTTATAGTTTAATTCGAAGACACGGGACGTTTCTTTATTTCCGTTTCGTCGCCCGTCTATGGTGTCATATAACCTTTGACTCCTCTATTTCCTCTAACTTCCCACGGAAACCCGGCGAAACCGCCAAACACTAAGGGGAACACTGGACTACCGCCAATAAAGCAAATAAAATGACGAAGAAAAAAAAGTTGTACGGATTTTTATCTGTGTAAATCACGTGCCCGCTCACGAGCGCTCACTCTTAACAGACACGCTGTCCCCGGTGCTGCTCATGTAACGGACTTGGTCAGGCGATGTAACAGCGCATATGTTTCCTAAAGAGAGTAGTATAACAGAAACGCCCAATCTGGGCTGAATAAAGTTTGTGTGTGGTAACAGAAACAACAAAAAAAATGTAATGGATAACCAAAAACGAAAATGCATACCTGTAGAGTACAAATGCACATTAATTGCCTTCTGGCTTCCTTTCACAGCACCTCTGCTTCCTAAACATACAAAAATACAGCGTTTACACTATATATAAAGGGACACTGAAAACTCCGATGATCTACATTGCTATCAGAGCGCGACCCGCGTGCCGTCGTGAAATCGCGGATGGAAAGTGAATCTGAAAACTTCAGATTCAGCTCAAAATAACTAACACAGTCTCATCCCAAAAAGTCATATAACTGACGTTTTGGGACGTATTTTGACCATACGTCAATATCCGCCTTTTTAGGGCCCCCTTAAACGTCGGTAGATGGCGATCCCGGGCCGTCATACAACTGACGCTTTACCTTTAACGTCAGTTAGGTGACGGGTTAGGTTTAGGGTTAAGTTTAGGTATGGGGTAGAGTTAGGATCCCATAACCTCATCTACCGACGTTTAAGGGGGCCCTAAAAAGGCGAATATTGACGTATGGTCAAAAGACGTCCCAAAACGTCAGTTATATGACGATTTGGGATGAGACCGGGTTGAAATAACACGAGACCGCCACACATAGTGTTAATGTATTAACATCAGACATTGAAAATGATAGCTTATATTATTCATTTTCCATAGAAAACAGTAAATTAGCTTAGCAGCACATTTTCACTCGACTTACCCTCAGTAGTGCAAAACGAGACTGAGGGAGACGGTACGCTACGGAAGCTTAGGAGGAACAGAAAGGATAGTGTGCAGGAAGGGTCATTTCCGCAGGTAACATTCGCAAAAATAAAAATACATGAAAATTACTTGATGAGATAAAATTCACAAATACTCAAAACCATTAAATGATAAATAAAAACAAAGATGCTAATTTGAAAATAAGAATTACTAAAAGTGCATTTTTAACTCCGTTACACCTACGTGTTACAGAATGCATAAAGCGCTCCCCGTTCACAGTAACCGGGTCGTCTTATTCAAATCAGCCAGCTGTTGCTGACAGCGAGCCGCGCACATTGCATACTCATATGAGTCAGGCTGCAAATGTAAGTTACGTGCCCGCTCCAGCGCGCTCATGCTTACTAAATAAACGCCTCACATCCGGCGCCGCGCACTCACTACATTCCCTTTAGCCTTAGCACATAGTGGATGCATAACGCAAACCCAGTCAAACGTTTGACTGCAGTATCTTATGTGCCTTATAATCCGGTGCGCCCTATACATTGTTCCCACATGACGTCACAACATACGGGCATTTGCCGACCCGGCGCCATTGCTTAGGGCAAAACATAAGAAGAAGCAATACGAGTTGAACGAAGTGAAATGAGTTTCGTGCTATAAAGTGAAAATGGTCATCTCCTGCTGAGTCATGGATGACAAAATCGTGCCGGAGGTTCAGTTAAAACGGGATTTTACACTATACCCGTCATTAGACTCCATATGGATGTGAGAAGACTAAGCTTTTGTCCGAACAACGATGGAGATTATGGCTGGCGAGCATAAACAGGAAAGAAACTCACTCAAAACACGCAAGAATTTGTTTGACAAAAGCACAATGTTGTGTTTTATTGCGAGTGTAAATAAATATAAGTTAACACATTGCAGTTTGAATAATGTCCTGTATGAACAAAATGACGAGGTATTAAAAACATACAAAACAACATTGTTTCCACTGTTTGATCTCACATTCCAGCATTGCAATCTCAGATTATGTCCCTAAAGATCCCGCGTATAATGTAGTTCCTCATTTATTACATTAATTAAATTGCACGCGAGTTATTTATTTTAATATTCATGCACCGAACCATGACGCCCGCAAGTACATGCATATTACAGAAATCACCGGTGACTGGGGAACATAGGAATTAAGTTGTGCAGGCTATGGCTTTTTAATAGACAGATTAGCATCATGCTACTTCGCTATGATGACTTAAGTTACTTTTCCATTGATTGCACTTGAGCAAACGTCACCAAACCAACCCCACGTCAATCTGATCGTACACTTCCAGTGATTTCCAGGCTTGGAAATGCTCACATGTGTAAAAACTCCTCACCAATACCAGATAATTGTACACATGAAAATACTGTATCTGAGGCAAAGTTGCATAATCGGTGCTCAGTGCTTCTTTTGTTGCATAAGGATACACACCATTTATGAATGAAATTTTCGCATTGTACCTCTCTATGTCTTGTTTTAATAGTCTCTTTATAATCTATTACACTTTGTCTTTTCATGATTTGCATAACAATATAAACAGACATAAATATTTGTTTGTAAAACGACATTCTCTGATAAAACGTTGTAAACGCCTATGGTAAACACAGCGGTTTTGCCCTCAAAGATGGCGTCTCCGGGGAGGTCACGTGACAATTTTTTTGCCTGTGGGAACTATGTATACAGTATGAAAAATGTTCTAAATAGGTCATTCATTGAAGGGGCGTAATATAAATATATTCGTCTGTATTATAGTTATGGACCACAATTACGCTTTGCCTGCACGTTCTGCTGCTACAGCCAGCTCAGTAAAGCTCAAAGTACGGGTGAAAAATATAACCCGAGAAGGGTTTGGGACAGGAGAAGCATGACACAGGTAAACATTGGGGTTGCATTTAAAGCTTCTTGACAAGCTAAATCTACAGAGAGATGCCGTATATCCATATATTTTGTGAAACGATGACGTCATGTCATGAGCTGAGCTGGTTGTCATTGACAGCGACAACAACTCCCGTGAGCCCACACTCTTTCCCGACGTCATCAAAGTACATCTTTTGTTATTATTTTAAATGAGTGACCCCTGGTGGCCAAAAATTGCATACTGTACGTTTAAAAGTAAGCACTGTTTTATAATTTTGCCAGATTTAGCCTCCAAATTTAAAGGGTAACTTATTTTTTTTTTTTTTTTTTTTTTTTTTGTGTGTGTTTTTCGATTTCGGGGCTTATGAACACAACTACCCTGAAATGATAGACAGACGGGAACCCTGTTTTAATTTTATTGTATTTTGTGGCGGAAACAAGCTTCCATACTAATACCACTTCGACATAAAGGGATTCCATAAGCTCACGGCAGTGATGGAAAGTGTTATGCAATGGCTTAGTGATTCCTGTCTTTATTTAAATATAAAGAAAACTGCATGTATGTTCTTCACAAAGAGGTCAACAGACAATTCAGTAGCAAATATTTATATTGCAGGGGAACAACTGTCAATGGTATCTGATTTCAAATATTTAGATATAATAATTGATTCGAATTTAACATTTAAAAAAACAAATTAAAAAAGTTATAAATATAGTAAAATTTAACATGTCAAATTTCCGTCATATAAGAAATTGTTTGACTACAAAGGCAGCGACAATATATTTTAATGCTATGATCATGCCATATTTTTTGTACTGTTTGACTAGCTGGGCACAAACCTCCAGCACAACTTTTAAACATGTGCAGTTACTGTACCATCAAGCTTCTAAGGTACTCGATAGGAAGCCTAATACCCATCATCACTAGCCTGGTTCAACCAGACTCTAGTTCATTTCATTTCCACATAGAAATAAAATGAAAAGAAGTAAAATGAAATTGAGCGGAAGTGCGTAGGAGGGCGCAGCCAGGCTATATCATCACTGCCACTGTCTAAAAAAACACAATCTAATGACTTGGGATAATCTTATTAAATTCACAGACTCTTGTCTTGTTTTTAAAATTTTACATGGTTTAGCTCCCCCACCATTAACTGCTTTTATAAAACAAAAAACTACTGTTATTAGACATACAAGGTCTGTAACAAGAGGGGATTGTGTAATACAATTGAGAAGAACTGCCTTTGGTCAGTCAGCTTTTTCTGTGAGAGCAGCTCACACTTGGAACAGTTTACCTACATCTATTAAAGACATTGTTTCATATGGGCTGTTTAAGATTAAATTAAAATCATGGTTAAAGCACAATCAAGTGTGTACCCATATTCTGTAGTTTTTAAATCATCATAATCATGTTTTGATTTGTTGTTGTTGTTGAATGTTTTTTTTATGAGCTTCTATGTAATTTGTTTTAATGTATGTATAAGTATTGTTGATAGTCTGAATGTATTTTATCGGTTATTACATCTGCCCAGTGACTACAGTTGAAAATTAGCCAAGATGGCTTAACTGGCACATTTACGTAAGCGTTTATTAATGTGCACGGTCCCTGTAACTTTAAACTGATTAAAAAAAAAAAAAAAAAAAGAAGGCCTGCAGTGCCGCATCATCGCCTGAAGTGGCCCACATCCGTCTGCTATCTGAGGAGCGAGTGAAACACACACAAATGCTGTTAACTGGGGAAAATGTTTAGTTGGTCTGAAGAGGAGAAGAGACTTCATCCACAGAACAGAGACAATATACTTTACATCTGTGCATCAGCAACACACACACACACTAACTAACTTCATATACAATAAAACAATAACAATAAACATATTCTGTGTATAAAATGTTACAGAGACAATGTGAAGGTTTAAAGGTTAAACTTTATATATTTGGAAACATATATTTATCTTTTATGTGCTATACTTGACGATCACGTTCATGATTAGAAATACCTGAATAATTCTGGATGAGTTTAGTCTAAACATTATTATATTTGCAGGCCTGATAGTGAAGATTTCTGCTGACACTCATCTGAGCTTCTTCCTCTGTTCCACCTTTAATTACAACTAAACCATCATTTGTCTGAATAATAAACCAACATTAATCATTCAATATCACATGTTTCTAATACGCATGCTAACACACACGCTGCTTTATTTAAAAGTGAAGTCTGAGTCTCTTCCACCTGTATGAAACACATTTACACGAGTATTTCTCCTCATAGACACCAGTGAGACTCTTCTGTGGATCACCTGATGGTTTCTGCTCCTCTCATCTCCGTTTCACAGATTTAAACCTTGATGGAAATCCACTGATGTTTTATGATCAATCTTCATCTACTCTGTAAAGTGGAACAGAAGAGAAAACAATCAGTGTTCAGTGAAACAAAGTGCAAAATATTATATCTCAATTATTATTTTTTGAATAAAAAAGGTTAAATTGAATTCCTGTAATCAGATTAATTACTTTACATTATCTTGGATAGATATTTGTGTTTTTAAATATAATAGATTTAAATCATGATTTAATTTTTTTTTAAAGATTTCATAATAGAACCTGAATCATGTTCATATGTGTGTCTGTGTGACTCTAATGAGAAACTAATGGGTGTACACTCAAAAAAATGATGTGTTGGCTTTACTTAACTTTTTCATGTAAACAGGTTCCACCGGTTCCACATAACTTTGTTTTGTTAAACAAACATAATTTGTTCATGTAACTTCAACATCATGGAAGTCATTTTAAGCCATCCAATCAAACTCTGAGCTGAGTGTTAAAGTTAATGAGACAATTAAGTGAATAACTGAGTGATGATTGAGCATTATTGAAGACACCTGATGATAACAAGCAGAATCACTGAAGGAGAAAATCACAAATTGTAAGTCACCGTTATGGAGATCAGTGTTTGCTTTAGTTGGGCTCTTGACCCCTATATTATTAACTTAAGATTATGTTTGGCTGTTCATGAGTTATATCAGCCAGATGATCACATAGAAAAGGTGGAACTGGGGATTGAATCACCAAACTTCTGGTTTGTAGTCAAACTGCATGAACTTTATAAATAACTGCATAAATTTACCTTATGGATCATACCAGCACTGCTCGTGTAGAACATACAATTTTAGCCTTTTCAATGAAATTCAAATGATCAAATCAATAAACAAAAAAAATTTCTGGTTGCCACCAATCAAAATTCATTCATGGCTCCCATCATGCATTGCTGCATGAATAAATAATGAGCTTAAGACACCTAAAGCAGAATCACAAGGAAAAAAAATCTTAAATTGTAAGCCAACGTTATGGAGATCAGTGTTTGCTTTAGTTGGTCTCTTCACCCTTATATTATCAACTTTATATTTTTAATTTACTGTTGGATCTGAGTAATACCTGCCAGATCAACAAAGATAAACAATTATAAAATGATGTTGGAATTATAATGACATTCATCATTTGAAATTTAGGTCTGTAATTTATTCTGTTGGTTAGTGTATAACTGAGATTCTGCATAAATATCCAGAATGTTCTCAAAAGATGTTTTTTTTTAACAATTTTTTTTTTCTTTAAGGCACACACAGACCTCAAGATTCAGTCAATGCTTCTCAACAACGGTGACTAGTAGAATATTCAATTAGGAAAAGTAAATTACATAGACAATTCAGATCATAATTTATTCAAACCGCAATGCATGATGGGAGACATTAATGAGTTGTGATTGGTGGCAAGAAGGACTATTAATGTCACCACGATTGAGATAGACAGGCTGATTATTGATATCTGTTTCTACATAAAGATTAAGTGATTTGATCAGAATAGTTTTATTAAATATTTTCTGTTATAAGAAAATACAGATATGTTGTATAATCACTAAACTGTTGCTAGCAAGTTAATCCTAACCATCAGAATTATGAATTTTTGGAGTTTACAGATCACATCATGATTATGTCAAAACATAACCAACACTATCAGATCACAGTTTTCTTTGTTCATTTGCCTGTTATAAATCAATAACAGCAGCCAAACAAAGTTTAAAGTAAAAGTGTAAGGGTCAAGAGCCCAACTAAAGCAAACACTGATCTCCATAACGGTGACTTACAATTTGTGATTTTCTCCTTCAGTGATTCTGCTTGTTAACATCAGGTGTCTTCAATAATGCTCAATCATCACTCAGTTATTCACTTAATTGTCTCATTAACTTTAACACTCAGCTCAGAGTTTGATTGGATGGCTTAAAATGACTTCCATGATGTTGAAGTTACATGAACAAATTATGTTTGTTTAACAAAACAAAGTTATGTGGAACCGGTGGAACCTGTTTACATGAAAAAGTTAAGTAAAGCCAACACATCATTTTTTTGAGTGTACGGCGTATGGAATGAACCACAGCGAGCAAATACTAATGTTATTTTGAGTTAAACACAAACCTTTAGTTAAAGCCGTTTGTCCTCTAGTTTAAACATGTTTGTAGGCTCTTAGTAAATAACTGAGAGTAAAGTAAGTGTCGAGTAGTGTGACGTGTTGCTTGTCACAGTAAAAACACACTAGAGACAGAGACATTGCTCATGTGAGCTGGACGCTGTGAGCTGAAGCTGGAACTGCACTGATTTTAGCAGGAGTGCAGCGTTTCCTACAATCTGACCAAGTCTGTTTCACACTCAAATGATTCACTTCTACTGACACAGTTCATAAAGCAGGTGTTGATGAATAAAGCTGTGACAGTGAGCTTTTCTTCTCTTTCCTCCTTTGTGTTCAACATTTCAATAACTTCACATTATGTTCTCACACAAACCCTTTGTTGCAACAAATCTTAATGATAATTTCCTTTCACGAATGTTTGAAAGGATTGTTCACATATCAGAGGTAAATGAAGATGTCTTTAATATCTCAGTGATGTTTCCTCACCTCAGGATACAGTTTGAGTCTCGTAGCTCGTCTCTGAGCCGCTGCTTTGAGTCTCCGATCTTATTGTCTCTCAGATCAAGCTCTTTTAAAAACTGCAGTGCTTTTGAGTTCGTCAAAGACTGAGTTAAATAAGAAACATCTGTAATGCCACAGTCAACCAGACTAGAGAGACACAAACAGAGGAAGAGAGATTATCTTACAAACAAATCATGAATGTGAAGAATTTTACACAGATATAATGTGAACTCAGACTCACTGTCAGATATTGAGAATAAAGTGTTTTAGTTTAATAAACCCAGAAAGTGAACTGCTATAACCAATGAAACATAAGCCCTGCTGTCTTCAAATAAATAAACTTCAGTCACACTGTAATTGCTGTACAGTATAATGACACTATAATGACACTAACTGTAGTTTCTCCAGCTTGAATTGTGGGTTCATCAGTAGATCACTGAGGTTTTTCACTCCTGTGTTTCCTAGTTTATTCCCGCTCAGGTCCAGCTCTCTCAGGTGTGACGGGTTTGATTTCAGAGCTGAAGTCAGGATGAGACTCTGTTCCTCTGTAATCCTGCATCTATACAGACTGAAGACAGAGAAATAACAATAGTTCACATCTATGATGATCATCTTATTGAAGAGCTACAGCAGCATTTAGTTTCCAATAGTCTGTTTTAAAACCCAGTCACACTAGTTCTGTGCGCTGGAAGACACTGTTTCTTCTCTTTCATTTCTAACTATTTATTTGACGTCTCTCTTCTTTATTCTCTGTTGAAAAGGCAGATTTCTGTGTATACACAATCAGTACATTGTATCAGATGCTGGGAATTAAAAAAATTACAAACTACACTCTACTAACTAGATAAAAAACTGTGAAAAGATAAAGAACTAGAAAAAAATGTGAGCAATAAGTAAACCCCCAGAAAGTGCACTGCTATAACCAATGAAACATAAGCCCTGCTGTCTTCAAATAAATAAACTTCAGTCACACTGTAATTGCTGTACAGTATAATGACACTAACTGTAGTTTCTCCAGCTTGAATTGTGGGTTCATCAGTAGATCACTGAGGTTTTTCACTCCAGAGTCTCCTAGTTTATTCCCGCTCAGCTCCAGCTCTCTCAGGTGTGATGGGTTTGATTTCAGAGCTGAAGTCACATCAGAACAACCTTCATCTGTCATATCACACCAGCGTAACCTACATTAGCAGAGAGAGAGAGAGAGAGAGAGAGAGAGAGAGAGAGAGAGAGAGAGAGAGAGAGAGAGAGAGAGAGAGACTTTTAAACCCCTTTTATTTAAAACATTTAGGGTTTTAAGAAAAACATTTTTTTTACACAAATTACATTATAAAACAAACACCCATTTTACCAATTAAAAACTAAACTTCCATACTCACTCACATTCACCAATGCCTCTCTCACACCCCATCTCCATTCAAACATAGCAACATTATCAGTGTATTTATAATATGTATACTCAATGGTCACACGAGATTCTATTAAAGACCTTAACATAGCTTTCATATCAACTTCTTTTCCTGTATTTTTACACTGGTGGGATTTCAAAATGGCTAACTTAGCTTGGCCAATTAAAAAATTGGCAAGAACACATTGTTGTTGCCATGACTTTCTATATTGATACCCTAATATAAACAAGGTTTTATTATATAAAAACCCTAATTTTGTAATCAATTTTTCGAGTACTGCAAATAAAGGACCAAGCCTTGGACATTCAAAAAACATATGAAAGACAGTATCATAAGCATTACAGAAGGGACATGACAGAACAATCTTATTGAACTTTGATACCAAACTATTTGAGGCTATAGCACAATGGAGTACTCTCCACTGAAGATCTCCGCATCTCTTGGAGATAGGAGGTTTATACAATACTCTCCATGATGGATGTACTTTGTGACAAATAGAGATCTTATCCCTCCATTTGGTATCTGTTTTTCCTTGCAAATGTCCAACATGCACAGATTTAACACAAATATAATAAAGATTTTTCTTTGCCACATTATGAAAAAAAGAATCCCCATATCCCTTCAACAATGTAGTCTGGTTTAAATTACCCCCAACTCCTCCATCTTTGGGGGTCACCTTCAGCTCAGGGAAGTTCTGAGGTGTAAAACCATCTACCAGGGTTGAGTTTACACAGGACATTAATGTAGGGGGCAAAGCATCTCTAATACACTTAATTATGCTATCCACAGTTCTTAGAGATTTTAATTTAACCTGTGCAGCAAGTGACAAAACAGTTCGCCACTGACATTGTTTCAAATCAATTAAATCCATAACTTTACTAATTCCAGCATTTAAAAAAAGTGGAACAAAACAAGACACATTAGATGGTAGCTTTATAAGAGGATTAAAAAACAAGGGCTCTGAAATCCCATAATGCACCTCTTCTGTTCTTGAAAAGTTGAAATACTTCCATGATTTAATTACTGACATGTAAAAATTAGGGAAGAAACCGTGTGTTTTTTCCTCAAAAGGCTTTTCCATTAAGAACAACTGTTTATCTAGGCCTATCCCACCTAAATCTGATAGTATAGATAGCCCAAATGTAACCCATCGTAAAGGAGAAGAACAATACAAAAGCCTCTGTAATGTTTGTAATCTCATTGCTAGTATTTTTGACTCTATGTGTATTAGTCCTTGACCTCCCTCAGCCACCGGAAGATAAAGTATACCAGGAATAAGCCAATGATAACCGTTCCAAAAAAAATCCACAAAAGCTTTTTGAATGGCAATAAGCAACTCTTTAGGAGGATTTAAAACAGTTACTCTGTGCCACAGCATTGAGGCAGCCAGATTATTGATAATCAAGCACCTCCCCCTGAAAGAAAGCTGTGGTAGAAGCCAACGCCACTTCTGCAATCTGCCGATCACACGATTTGCTAATCCCTCCCAATTCTTTTCAGTATATTGGGCCATCCCAAAAAAAACACCAAGTACTTTAAATCCATCTTGAACCCATTTACACTGTTGTGGCAATTGAGGTGGTCCTATATCCACCCAGTCTCCCAACAAGAAGGATGTACATTTATCCCAATTAATACGAGCAGATGTAGCTTTCTGGAAATTATTCAAACAAGAAATAAGATTAGTAACATCATTAGTGCTCTTGATTATTACTGTAACATCGTCCGCGTAAGCTGTAAGTGTCACTGGGGCCTCTTCTGGGAAACCTGGGACACCAATACCACACAGCTGCTTCCTCAGCATAACTAGCAGAGGTTCAATGGAAATAAAGTACAGAAGACCAGACAAAGGGCATCCTTGTCTTATTCCCCTAGTCACAGAGAAAGGTCTAGTTAAAGACCCATTAATACGCAACATACTGTAAATGTCACTGTACAGGAGCTTGACAAGAGAAATAAAATTTGCACCAAAACCAAAAGCTTCAAGGGTCTTGAACAAATAATGATGGTCCACCCTGTCGAAAGCTTTTTCCTGATCCAAGGAAAGGAATCCAATGTCCAGTTTGTGCCTTTGTGCAACTGAAATAATATCTCTTACGAGAAAAAGATTATCAAAAATTGTGCGTTTAGGGACACAAAATGACTGATCTTCATGGATTACCTCAGACATATATTTTTTAAGCCTATTAGTTAGTGTTTTAGATAAAATTTTAAAATCAACACAGATCAGTGACACTGGTCTCCAGTTTTTAAGGAACCCAAGATCTCCTTTTTTTGGGATCAATGTTATGATTGCCCTCCGACAACTTAATGGAAGTTTCCCACGATTAAAACTTTCCAGGAAGACCGCATACAAGTCCTCTCCAATCAAATTCCAGCAGCCACGATAGAATTCAGATGAAAGACCGTCCAGACCAGGCGACTTCCCAGGGCTCAGCTCCTGGACGGCAAGAGAAAGTTCAGCAAAAGATATAGGGCTCTCAAGGATAAGTTGATCTTCCTCTGATAACTGTGGTAGATCACATAAAAGTTGTTCTGCTGCTGATCTATCACATGGTTCAGCAGAGTATAGGTCCTCATAAAAGGAAAGTGCATGAGTGCGGATGTCCTGTTGGTCAGTTGTCACACCTCCTTGTGGTAAATTCAGTTTATGGAAGTACTTATGTTCTCTTGGTTTTTTTTTTCAGACCAAAGAAGAATGCAGAGGGAGTGTCCATTTCATTTAATTGAGAATATCTGGTCCTTAAAGGACAACTCCGGCGCAAAATGAACCTTTGGTCTAATTACACATTGTTACCTAGTCAACCGTTATCTGAGATTTTTTTTCATGATTGCCGAATGTAAATAGTTTTATCTATAAAAACAGTTTAGCCTATAATGCTAGTATAACGCTAGTCTATAGGGCATAGAGTAATGACAAATAAAAATCGCTTTTTATTACCACTAACAAGGCTCAAAATAGCCCCACAGTAACAAGGTAGCACAATAAGGATCCATACATTCAAACCGAAGCATTGAGAACGTTGTCAGTGTCCATACAGTTTAATAAGAAGATATTTTATACACACAGTCAACTTTGCGAATACAGGAAGAAGCCATCTTTGAAAAATAGTCTCTACCAGTCAATCTACGAACGCCGATCCAAGTGCGCTGGTGAGATGTGAATAAAGTGATAATGTGAGCGCGAACAGTAGGCAACATGTACATATTAAAGAGAAGAAAATGGTTCGTGTTTGTGTTTCTTCCAGAAACAATGGACCATATATAAGATTCTGCACAGTTCAGCGCACTTGGATCAGCGTTCGTAGATCGACTGGTAGAGACTATATTTTAAAGATGGCTTCTTCCTGTATTCGTGAAGTTGACTGTGTGTATAAAATATCTTCTTATTAAACTGTATGGACACTGACAAAGTTCTCAATGCTTCGTTTTGCATGTAGGGATCCTTATTGTGCTACCGTGTTACTGTGGGGCTATTTTGAGCCTTGTTAGTGGTAATAAAAAGCGATTTTTATTTGTCATTACTCTATGCCCTATAGACTAGCGTTATACTAGCATTATAGGCTAAACTGTTTTAATAGATAAAACTATTTAGATTCGGCAATCATGAAAAAAAATCTCAGATAACGGTTGAATAGGTAACAATGTGCAATTAGACCAAAGGTTCATTTTGCGCCGGAGTTGTCCTTTAAGAGGGCTGCTCTTCCTTGCTCCACCAACAAAGTCTTTAGAAGGAACTTATTCCTCTCAATAGAATCAGCAGAGTCACCATGGTTTCTTTGTCTCAGAATGTCCTCTTCAAGAGATCTTATTTTTTCTTTGAGAGTTCTGGTGTTATGAGCAGTATATTGTTGGCAAAACAACTTAATATGCACTTTGCCTATGTCCCACCACTGACTTAATAAAGGAAAACTACATCTCTCCTCTCTCCAAGATTGCCAAAAAAGTCCAAAAGAGTGAATGAAAGAGTGATCCTGTAGTAATCTGTTGTTAAAATGCCAGTGTGATTTGTGATTTTTAGAAGACAGGACAGAGACAGCCACGGAGATATAATGGTGGTCAGATAGAAAAGATGGTACTATTAGGCTATTATAAAATCTACCACTATTACTCCTGGCAACGTAAAACCGGTCAAGTCTCGCTCCAGACAAAGAATTTGAGTTTACTTTTAACCAAGTATACTGCTTGACCCCAGGAAATTATCTCTCCATATATCAACAAGATCATGATAACCAATAACATTTTTTAAAGCTTTTGCAGAACTTGAGTGAGGCTCATCATGATTCCTATCTAAATCAGGGTTTACAGTACAGTTAAAATCACCTCCAACTACCACAACATTATCCTGTGGGCACTGTGACAGAGCATCTGATAGTTTTTCAAAAAACAGCTCACACTCTTGCCCAACATTTGGAGCATATACATTAAAAAAAGAAAACCCTATTTGTCCAACCATAATATCTGCTCTTAAAAGTCAACCAGGTATTATCTCGAACATAACTGGTTGATTTAAGATACATGAAGAAAAAAGTATAGCGACACCAGCACTAAGATTAGTTCCATGACTCATTATAATATTTCCCTTCCAATCACACTTCCACTGTGTCTGATTCTGTAAATCAGAATGAGTC